CATCTACGTCTATGTCTTCCGAAAGTTTTCTTCTCTTCAGGCCTTCAAAACCAAAATGTTGTACTTACGAGGGTCGCTCATTAAGTAATGCCCCACATTTTTTTCCTCAGAATATATTTATTCAAGATGGCTGAAATTTAGTGACAATATAAATCAATGTTTCCTTTACACATACTATTTTTCCACATAGTCCCCATCAACTTGTACGGTTTTACGCCAGCGTGGAACAAGTGCATGCATGCCTTGCCGGTACCAGCTCTTGTCCTGTGCACGTAGCCATGTCCTCACTGCTTGAATCACGCTCTCGTCATCTTCAAATCTTGTTCCGCGGATAGCATCTTTAAGTGGCCCAAAGAGATGAAAGTCGGAGGGTGGATGGGGCAGCACCGTCCAACCCAATTTGGTGATTTCTTCCCGGGTTCTCGGACTTGTGTGAGGGCGTGCATTGTCGTGCAGGAGCAAAATTTCTGCTGGATGCTTGTGAGGCCGAACTCGTCGAAAACGCTTCTTGAGGGTTTTCAGGGTCCTGATGTACGCGTCTGAATTGATGGTCGCACCTCTTGGCATCACATCCACAAGAATGACCCCATCACTGTCCCAAAAGACAGTCATCATGACTTTTCCGGCGGAGGGAGTTGTCTTGAATTTCTTCTTTCTCGGTGATTGAGGATGATGCCACTCCATTGACTGCCTTTTTGTCTCTGGCTCAAAGTGGTGTATCCAGGTTTCGTCACCTGTAATGATCCGGGACAGAAAGACCTCTCCCTCAGCATCAAAACGCTCCAACAATTCAGAAGAAATCGTTTTCCTTTGAATCCTGTGGTCTGCTGTGAGACTTCGTGGAACCCATCTTGCGCACACCTTCGAATATGCAAGAGCCCGGATAATTGCAATTACACTTCCATTGCTGACTGAAAGCACGGAAGTTGCATATGGCAGATCAGATGTTTGGAAGAAGAAGATGGCAATAATGATGATGACAGTAATTGCAGTAAACTTGTCTTCGCGATGTGTGTGTTACTTTTTTTTCAGAATTGTCACCTTTACTCGGAACACCTGATGTGATCTGGATATGCCATTCTGGTCGCTGTGGTGTGACAGCAGATAGGTTGCGGTGTTTAAATATCAGTGTTGTAATGCAGTTTGGAATATGCAGGGTTCCTAATGACGTAGGATGTGGAAAGAGGCTCGCATCTCCCGTGCATTTTACATGACCTGCCCACCTAATCCTCTTTGACTAGATCATCTTAATATTATCCGGTGAAGAGCTTGTCACATCATCCCCCTTGGGTCTAAATGTTCTAGACGCAGTCTTCTCAAACACGTGAAATCCGCGTTCTTTACTTAAAAGCGAGAGACTAGATTTAACACCCACAAAGTAAATTAAAGTTTGTCCCACTATACGCCATGTAGGCGCTTGGGGTGAGAGAAGGTATAGCTCCTCTCTTCCTTGACCTCGGCACTAGATGGGGGTGAGTGGTCAGCATCACGCCCCGGCCGGCTTTACCCCCGGGAAAGGACCCCGGTACCCATTGTAGAGGAGGCTGGGTGGGCCCCAGAGCCGGTCTGGACGCAGAGGCTAGAGGGAAAACCCTCTGCCCCCGTCGGGGATCGAACCCCGGTCGTCCAGCCCGTAGTCAGTCACCCACACAAAACAATAAAAAATTTTATGGTTTTTGTATACATCAGTCTCAGGTTTAGCCCAGAAATTACTTCTCACAATCACCGTCACCTTATCACACTGCAGTGTCCTAATTTCTTACTCCCCGCGTACACAAGACTTCTTAAAGTGGCGAAACAAGCAGCTTTCTATCGGTTTTCGCATTGCCCACCGCGCACGAAAACACACGAGAAGTTGGTTTAAGTCACCCGCTGACCTCCGAAGCGAGGCCACGACCCCGCAGTTTACACAAACCTGGGAACTCGGCTGCCGTTTCTGTCATAATGAACGGAATTTCGTACAGGCCGGGGGCAGCAGCAACTACCGTTACTAAGGCAATATTTCGACAGACGATTTAACTAACTACCGTACCATCTGTTTGGTGAGGCACCATAACTCATCACCGCCAGCAGGCGATGTTTGCTCAGCGTCACAGGACATCTGACGTGTTTTCAAGAACGTGTAAACCCGTAGAAACCCTAGTTCACTCTCAAAGACTTCATTCACAATAAACATGTTATAAAACGCCTCGGAAAAGTTTTTAATCTAGTGACAGATCATAGACCGTCCGATAGCACGATGTGAGCGAAAGACTTTCGTTATTTTCCTGGGGGGAACTGAGGAAAACACATAAAACTACGTGAATATATGAACAAAAAATCTAAATAATTAACCAATTAATAATAAAATAAATAATCAAATAATAAATTATAATTATTTGCATTAAACTTTACACAGAAGTTTCATGGTAATTATTTCCTGGAAAAAACCTAATAAATCCTCATTATTAAGATTATAACTTTAACCATTAACATTTTCATTCTCTATTCAGTGTTTACAGAAAGTTCCTTTTTAATAATTAAATTTCTTATTTGAAGAAGTATAGGAAAATTTGCGAGACACCCTCTCGCTTCAACCGACGACAAAATCTTGCTCAGACAATACAGCATCGTCGCATAAGGCAAGAAACGTTGGTGGAAAAAGTAGCGAATGGCAGTTTTCATTCATGTTGACTGTGTTCGTCCCCGAAACCTGGGAAATGCATCCGTAAAGGCAAACAGAAGACATCCGGAGAACGAACGGTCCGCGATGAGTCAACATTACTGTATTCTGCTGAAGAAGCCACGGACGGAGATGTGCACGATCACTGCAGCTGACCGGTCCCAGGTACCCGATCCGTTAACCAATACAAGACCACTCACTACAGCAGAATCCAGCTACAAAATCTTTGAATTCAGTCTGATATTTGTTGTTCCCACAGCTGTGAAAATGTCGATCGTGGTCTTGTGAGTTGTAATGCCTTCCGCCACTTGCGTTCATCGATAGCTCTACGCCTTCGTCGTCTACGAATCTTGTAAACTATATCATCAAATGAATGTTTTGAAAGGCACAGCCCGTCTAAATAATATGTAATAATTCGGTCCGTACCGCAAAGAAAACACGACTCGTCTCCGTTAAAAGGATTAGTTGACTAATCTTGTTTAGGGAAATAACAGCTGTTTATTTCAGAGAATCATAAGAAATGCACAAACACAGTCACTGACATTCTTTTGTTTCTGCCCAATGACGACTTAAGTGATATCTTAACATAATTTAAAGTGCTCATTCTCATACATTATTTTACAAAACTTTTACGTATATTATTACACTTTTGCGAATTAATATTTGCCTTTAGTTCCCAAATTTAAATTTCGCATTTACCTAAATTTACGTGATTTTAATTATTTATTTTCTAGAACAACTTATTGTCTATCACACAAAATGCAATAAAAACCCCTCAAATTATTTCAAAAGTCATTGAGCGGACAGACAGACATGTAAACATTTGCGTGAACATACAATAAGCCTATCTTGCCTTAGGAACCAAGAGTCTAAAATGAATGCGAGTCCACCCCATGCAGTTTTTTCCCCTCAACCACACAACAGCTGTTTTAATGCATACATGCGTGGTCCCGTTGATAAAAACGGGCTCTGAAGCCAGTATTACATAATTATAAACTCCCCTCGCGCCTGTACGTGGCGCTAACTTCCGACCTTAGTCCAGACTTAATGTGATATGTCGTTAGTAATCTTGCAGTTCAGCCAACTGGATAATAACCAAAGGAAATATCCCCCTCCAGATGACACGATGAAACTCACGACTATGGGATTAGATTGGTTAAAATTGGTTCCATAGCATTGCGATGTCTGCTAATGCGATTTGTTTAACACCGAAGTGGTTTATTCGGTTGAAGTCCTAAAAGAATTACTGACCTTGGAGGAAGAATAGATTAAGCGACAAGCGAGCTGATAAATTAAACAACGAACTATGTACAGTGTCACGGATCGTGACAAAATTCCAGGAGAAATCAGAGAGAAACAATTCCTTTGAAATTACAAGTTAATAAAAACCACTTTAAAACAAATTGAGATGCAAAACGAGAAAAAATCAAACTATTGAGATGACATAACACATACTTAAAATTGAATGCAAATATGGTACCTGAGGAAAACAACGCTGTCAGCTGTCAAGAAGCTGTTGTGGCTTAATAAATGGCACAATCACGACATTTTCCACGACGGACTGAGGATAAATGTGACAAATCTTATAGCAGATGTCCAGATCGAGATTTGAACCCACGACCTCCCGAATACGGAGGCATTTAAACGTAGCCTCAAAATGTTTCTCCTAACGGGTTCTAAGTAAACCAGTTTTCCCTTTTATCATTTGTAAATTAATTTATTCCTGTTAGTACGAACGTGACGTTCCAGGAATTAAAGCGAGAAGCCGAGAATAGGGACAACTGGAGAGCTCTTTTTGGGCAGAGCAATGGACCTGTCGTAAGACAGAACACTTAATAATAATAATAAGTACGAACGCTATTTACAAACACTGACCAGGTGGGGTTCGTCCAATCAAATTAATTGTGTACAACGTTTATATGGGCAATGTGGTATTGTGTTTAGACACTAATGCTGCTTCGCGCAACATATTTGCATCTGCACTACATAAATTGTGTTTATAAGAGCAGGAAATTATACCCGTGACGTTTCGTTCATTCGCGACTCCAATTACAAACCCACGAATATGAGACGCCTTCAGAGAAAGATTCTCGACATTCCAATGCTACAGGCTGACTCAACACCACCAGGACCATGGTTCCAGACCCAGCTGAGGCATGAACTTGACAAATCGCGTATTTTTATGGAACCAATCACACGTTCCTTCCACCGAGTCAGTCCGCATTCTTGAACCCGATTTATTTAAGTTCTATTTTAATATTATCCTCCAGGGTTTTTTCAATCAGACAGCTAGAAATTTGCATCAGTAATTCTAAATCTCAAGTACGAACCAACTCACCTGGATAATGTCGACTGTTTGTCATCAGGTCGAGAGGGGAATCCGTTCATCCAGAGCCTAGAGGTGGTCGGAGGGCCGTCTGTAACACAGAACAATTGATAAAATTGTTTAAATAAAATTGTGAGCGCCGAAACTAAGAAGTCTGGGATATATATCAAACACACTGCAAACAGCTTTTCTAATTTTCAACTCTAAATTCTTTTATAAACCCGATTTTTAAAGTTGTCTTCTGCGATGAACCGTCAGCGAATATCTACCAGACCGCGCGGTGTCACATCACAATTTTCGTCGTCGTAAAAACCTTAAATATCATATTTCAACTCTTATTTGTTAGTACCATAACATGTATTTTCTGATTTCCACAGATTTCTTATTAATTTCTGTATTAATACGCGAAACTGTCTCTAAAACTGAAATAAACCATCAACGAAAAGTTAAAAAAAAAAATTCAGGAAAGACATTAAGTGTCCAAGTTTACAAAAAGTGTTTCACTGTGTGTGTGTGATGAGCTTTGTAACATCTGTAATGTTCTGCAGTGGATAAAAGAGCAGTCTAGAGATTAATTATATCCTATGCAAAAACGCACGACGTAAATTTTGCGAATCACTGTTGCAGATGTCAGACAAGACTTGGATTTGAGAATGTAATAAAAATATGCTTTGTAGTTGCTAAGGAATGGTTTCAGATGCAAGTCAGTGGCGTGAATGGTCTCTTAGTTAGTAGTGCACAACCAGACAACTAAACTAGATAAATATATAACAAATGTTTCACTCTATATAACAGAACAGCGACATATCGTCATACGAGGTGCGATCAGAAAGTTCACAGACTGCGCGTATAAAAACCCGTACACTTATCTCAGGTATTAAATTCATC